CCTATATATACTTCACAGGTGTGGAAGTCCTGATTTGTCCTACTCTCCTGGCACATCCACATACGGTATGCCTGTCAGTGCCACACACAAAGCCAGTTCTCTGCTGCTGCTTGGAGCCTGTTGTCACCTGGGAGGGCTCCCATCAGGCCACAGAGATGACAATCAGAAAGAGCAAGAACCAGATGTTGAGCTGGGTAGAGCAGACGTTCAAATCCAAGCCTCCAACACATTGACTCACCTCACAATAATGTCTTTTGACATTATTTCCGCTGTTTATTAACAACATATTCACTCGTTGTAGGATATGCTACTTAAGAAATACATTTGATTCCACTTTATCTTCATTATTGTCACGGATGTCGGAAGGACAAGGAGAGCAGTAGAGACCTATGCGTAGCAGTAATAGGGGCAACACGGGGGTTAGCCCAGGCTCGGGGGGTCAGACGATGTCGGTATAGAAACCTGTGCCCTCAGGCCATGGACGTGGGATAACGTGGGGCGTCCACCCTCAATGCTGAGCGAGGAGCAGAGCAGACACAGGAAGTAAATACACAACAAGACACACCGGAAAGACATGAATAATCACAGGGATCTAGGAACAGGACAGAAGAGCAGCACCCTCTAGGTGTGACAATTATCTTCATTAAAGTCATGTCAAGTTAAGAGGTTTTCATATATTGTGTGTGTATTAGCTTCAAGTGTACAACAAATTAAATATTGGGAAACAAGGGTGTTAGTTTGAGCCTGCAAAGGATAACTGACACTGGAGAAGACTAAACCAAATAAATGTACATGGTACAATGTCCATGTGAATATTTGGGCAAGGTGACAGCAGAATAGGTGCATGTGAACTGTAAACATTAAATATTAAAAAGAAGGCCTGAACGAAAAAGAGAAGGTAAGGTAAAACCATTCAATCTGTTTAGCTATTGATTGAGCACTAATTAATAATTAGCACCTATTTTCCTCAGGACATCTGAAAAAATATTTTATGTTTCATTTAGTTTTTTTATGATTCCTGCAGGAAGTACAATTTGTAACAAACCCTTCTGTACCATTATATCTTGAAAGGGAGATTAGTATCAGTTCTCGATAGATTAGGGAGAGTTCAAGCACTGTCTTAGAATACTATCTGATCTCTTACAAAAGCAGCAAGCTAATATGGAGATGACTTGCTTTAATTGGCAGACAGAGAGAGCAGAATGCCAACAGAAGGGTTTTCCTCATCATGTAGTACTGCCAACTAACATACATTCTCTCAGCATGGAAGGTCACAAATGAAAAGATCCTATTTCTGTAAAGCTCTATAGCCCAGGCATAGCCCTCTGTGGTCCTTTCTGCTGTGTTTTCCAGGTTTTAACCAAATCAAAACTGTTAGGAAGATGCCTATAAAAATCTGCAGGAATGCAGCATTAAAGGGGTGTGTTTGACTATCCTAAAATAACCACTACTCACTGGGAAACCCCCCACCATGAAATACTAACTCCCACTAAAAACCCCTGAGCCAGGAGAGCACCAGAAGCAGGTGAAACTGGGAAAGCCCACGCAAACACAGAGAGAAAATGGTACAAGCTCCACATAAACGGGCTTCGAGTCTGGAACTGGATCCATGACATCAGAGATAATCATAGTGATAATCAAGTGTCCCTAAAGAGCTGTTAAAGGTATATTGTAATGGGCCTGTCAGTATTTCAGGAGGGGGCGGTACAGTACCGCAGTGATTAGCACTGCTTCCTTGGAGTTCTGGGGCCCTGGGATGATTTCTGGGCTTCTCTCTGTATGGAGCTTACAGGTTCTCCCTGTGTTCATGTGGTTTCCCCCAGGTGCTCCGGTTTCCTCCCACAGTCCAAAGACATACTAGTAGATTAATCGTCTTCTGGGAAAACTGGTCCTGGTTATTAGCAATTAGCAATTAGCGGGAGTGAAAGGCGCCAGGAAGATTAGTTGCGGCACGAGCGGCTGTTGAAGATGGTGTGCGTGGGAATGTGCCGGTGTTTGTGAGAGCGTGTGGAACGAGTGACGCTGGTGTGTGTGCTCATGGCCGAATTTTGTCTCTACAAGTTTGTGTGGCCTGCAATGGACTGGCATGCTGTCCAGGGTGTATCCTGCTGGCCATCTGTCACAGTCATCATCCCTCCTCTAGAGGGCGCTCCTACCTTTTTCTGTATTGTTTTCAGTTTAGTAGTTTCCTCTGTGTCTCCTCCCCTTTGTCTTATTTAAGCCCGGCGTCTCTGCAGTTCCGGGCTCAGCTTTGGAAGACTGATGCCCGAAAGCCCACCTGTCACCGGGCTCAGGAGTAGCGTGAGGGCACGGCCTTCATCACGGCGTCCTGACCTCTGAGTCCGGAGCTCAGAGCACCTTGTCCCGTCATAGTTTTAACCTTCCATGTTCGTAGTTCCCCGTTTCCTGTTTCTAACTGTTTTCGTCTCGGATGCACCTCCCGGCATTGGACACCGGACTGCGCTCTAGCTACCCCTTTGGACTGTATTGGATTTGCCGCCTCGGCTTTACCCCCTGCACTGGATCGGCACCGTCGCCCCCCCTGTCTGTCCGCCCCACCTATCCTTATCCTTACTGTGTCTTCCCTGACGTGCTTCTCCAGACACCCGCAGAGGGTCTTTAACAACACGCTCCACGAATTCGTGACAGGCTCCTGCTCCCCTGCCGTGCTGTATTGGATAAAGTGGTTAGGAAATTAGTGAATGCATATACAGTATACTTTGTGTTGTCAATAAACACACATAAAGGTGTCAGTAATTGTAAGCATATTAGTATATACCTCTTTAAGGAGAAAATATCACCAGAAACACAGCACATTGAGAGAAAACATGCATTATATTTCCTGAACTGCTATAGATTGCCAATTAATGTTGTACATGTACTGTGGGTTTGTGGTTAACCCTGTTTCTGTATCAGAGATATGTATAGAGAATCTGTCAGCAAATGTTTCCTATAATGCAAATTTCACATTGCTGTATCTCATAGCTCTTGACCTCTAAGTTAGGGAAAACTGAAATAATGCTTTACTCTGTATAATTAAAAATCCTCTAAAATTACAAATGGCGCATTCATATTTATAGTATGTGAACTATAATGCTATAGCTTCAAGTAATAAACAGGCCAATCTTTGCATAATCATTTAAATTAATCCACATGTCAGCTTTCATTTCCCCTTTGTTTCTGAGGTCAAGTTCATATCAAATTAAAAGTTGACTTTCAGTATGACTGGTTGTTTGACCGAAGCGGACTTTGAAAATCAACGACTGTTACGGCCCCAAGTGTCTAGGGGTAAAGGGGTGTAACATTTAGCGTGGTTTTGGATGCAGGTGGGTTTCTGGTGAGGGACTAAGGAAGTTTGGTGCAAAAGGGATTTATTCTAAAATAAATACGTTACTGGTACATAATAGGACACAATAACACACAGGGAAAGGAAATAGAGCTGTGCCAAAGAAAAGAAAATAACACACAAAATGGAGCTGGCTAAGAAAGTGAGGGAAAGCCGACCTATCTACCAAAACAAAACCCAAAACACTCGGTCTTCAGTGTCTTCTAACGCCCTGGCTAACCTTCACTGACTACCCAAAACCATACAAGACAAAGGGATGATTCACATTCTAAATCATATTTTATGCTTTTGCTGTCTGCTCTGCACTCTGTACTTGTCCAAGTGTTTGCTCACTCCTGAACTTTGCAAAAACTTTTTGAATTTTCCTAGCAGCTTCTATAGTTTTTGCCAATACTATTTTGCTATCATCTCCAAACATGCCTAGTTTACTAAGTATAACAGAATCTAAGTCCTTTATGTGGTAAGAGCAGCCATCTTTATAAAGATTCTTGTGACAGTTTAATTACATCAGCCCAATTTGAGCATTTACCCCTTATCCCTTATCTGCACTCCCCGTATCCATTATCCTATCCATTAACCAGATCTCAATTCAAACACACACATTACCTTGAATGCATTGTGCCTGCAATCTGAGAATTAATATTTTATGAGGAACTTTATTCAAAGCTTTCTGAGAATCTCAGTACATTGCTTCAGCTCCATTGTGTTGTTTTTGCTCAGAGAACACTGTTGAGTATCTTCTGGAATCCTATTTTCACATATAAGATCTTCTGGCTAACTTATTATTATTCTATTATTGTTGTTATTATTGTTTATGTATTCTTATATTTAAATGAACTGAGCATTATTGGTCTATGATCACTATTATGTATTTTTAAGGATCGGTGGAACATATTTTCCTGTCAGTGGGATGTTGCCCTGCTATGGTATGTGATATTATGATACAGTATGTTTTGCTGATCATGTTGTTCATGTGACCTTTGACCAGCTGGATGCAGTCGGTCCAGAGGTTAATCACTTCACTGCAGTAATGCTCAAGGATGTCATATGCAATGACTACATTCAGAGTTTTAAATACAGATTGTTGTGCTTCATGCAACGATTAACATTCTTTGATCTGTATTCTTTTCTGATTGCACATGAGTTTCCTGTCTAAGTTTAAAATGTGTACATGGTGTGAACACACCAGACCTGAGAGTTGTATTAATGAACTAGTCAGAATCAGGATGCAAGTTACGTTCTCATCAAATTAGAATAATTGATTTAATCTCTCAGACTCATTTTTCTTTTGTACCTACTCACCAGATAATTTTAATTCCACTGATGGACAAACAAACAAAAGCTCACCCAGACTGCAATTCCTTCACATGGACTTGATTGCAGCATTGATTATTTCTCAAGGAAAGACAATTTCCCTGCACATACCACATATAATCTTAAATAGGAAAAAAACCTCAAACTAATTGTTTTGGCAGTGGATGTGTCAAACACTCAGATGAAAAGCTTTGAGAAGATTGGTTTTAAAGACACTACATAAAATAAAGCTTATTATTATATTAATGATTGCGATCTTGCACATTCCTTGTTTGTGTCTTATCATGTGTGTGTCATTTCCCAAATAATTAACCTGTGATTGTTTCAATCATCACAGGAGATAACAGTATTTATACTGTAGCTGACTTGCAGTTGTCCTTATAAAGGCTTCATTTTCTTTGCGCTTTCAGAAAAGCTGCAACTCAGCTGAATTTCTTGGGTTTCATTGAGGAACAGGGTCACAGATGGCTGCATCAGAAAACAGTGTGAAGAGAAGGAGGGCACTAGCAGTTATAGTCTTCCTGTCGTTTTGGGGTAAGTAGTGGAAAAAGATTGAGATGATAGAAATTGTTGTCTTTTTTGTAAATGAGCAGGAAACGAATTATGTAAAAACATACAACATTTTTCAATGTCTACTTGTACATATTGTTTTTCAGGGAAATAATTGTTTGATGACTTATTTTCCCTGGTGTGAAGAAACCCTTTATTTCATTATATACTGTGTATGTACTGTATGTATCAGGATGGTGTCTGGTCATTTCTCTATATGTTTCTGCTAGCTAACTGAAATCGCCAGAGATAGTTAATATTCACATTCCCATCAATTATAATGAAAGCTTATTCATAAACACCATAATCCCTAATGGTTTTCCTAGTATGACATACAAATATATATTGTAACGCTTACGGCCGACAAGCACTGTGTGTAAGAGCTGGCGTACCAGAGCGGGTGACGTCACCGCCCTTCCCTGTGATAGCAGGACCACAGCTACTGGGCTGTGGAGAGATCTCTCTTTAGCTCACGGGGCTAGGTCGCTGCAGAGAGACGCGGAAGTCCCGGGTTCGAGCCTCCAGTCGGGATGGGGCCGACCAGATGCGGCAAGGGCGCCCGCCTGAGCCCCCGTTGCGTTACAATATATAGTTCAGGTGGGGAGCTGCGTCAGCATGCGTAAGCTGCAAAGGAACAAGTAATAGGTTTGTTCCATGCTGAAAAGAGAAGAAAGAAAACAACATTTCGGCTGTGGAGCTTTCTTCAGTTGTAATATATAAATAAATGAAATTATAAGTATATATACTAACAAGAGTTCTTAAAAAAATAAAATAAATGAACAAAAAGCAGAAAATGAATTAGTATGTAGCTGGTGAATTCTGCTATGCATATCCATAGTTCTTAATTCACTTTGGAATCTACATTTTGGAAAAAGGCTCCTTTCAGATTCTAAAAAAATAAGCTCTTATGCCCTTGAGTGTACATTGAGAGCCTCAGCTTATTACTAAGAAGTGTGCACATATTAATATGCAGCCTTGGCGACGCTAATTCAGCCTGATGTGAAGTGTTTCACTGTGTCTGACCCTGTGGCCACATGGACAGCAGCAGGTTTACAGTTTCTAATTGCTCATTATTGCAAGAGGTGAAGACAGGAATGTGCAATGTGCAAACTGTTCATGTTGCAGCCTTGCACCCTGGGCAGAGAGTGGTGAAAATGCAGCAGGGCCCCTTGGTCCGGACACAGGGCTCCCACATCACCCTGGCCTGCAACGTCAGCGGATACAAAGGCCGCCCCAGGCAAGACTTCCAGTGGTCCATTTACCCCCTGGCCCTCCCGGCTGTGGAGATCCACATCGTCAGCACGGCCGACCCGCACAGCACCTACGCGCTCTACCGCAGCCGTGTGAAAAACGGGGACGTTTACCTCGAGAGGACCGGCCCGGACTCTGTGCTCCTGCACATCGGCTCCCTGCAGCTCCAGGACCAGGGGGTGTACGAGTGCTTCACTCCCAGCACCGACCCGGAGTACCACGGCACGTACAGCGACAAGATCAATCTCACAGGTGCCATCACACACACCCCACAAGAACACGAATCCCGTCCCCTCATGTTTAATTTAATCGACTGTGTCAAGGCATCATCTTTTCAGTTTTTTTAAGTCAAGTCAGGTTATGTTAAAACTCCAAACAATCACTTCTGATGTCTAACTGTATGAAATAGCACTTTTTCACAATATTTGCAGAAGTGGGAAGAGGAAGCAGGGATTTCTTCATGGTCAAATTGAAGATGGTTCTGATGTGGAAATAAATGTAACTGATCTGTACTGAATTTCAAATGTAACAATACTCGGGCCAAGTCCTCTCTGGCTTACAGCATTTCAATACCACATGAAAGAAATGTTTTTCCTAAGCAACACACTGTAGTGAAGCCTTCTAAAATAACATGATAATCAAAACACCTGTAGAAACATTACAACATGCTTTTCTGTGTACAGTATGTGTAACGATCTGCGCCGAAGCCTGTCCCCACTGTCAACAGGCACAAGACTGGAAACACGTTGGGCAGGAGACCAGTGCATAACAGTGCACAAACCGACATGCCCACACTCACACCAGGGCCAGTTTCTCCAGTTTCCCCAGAAGCCAATTCACCTACCGGTGTGTCTTGGGCTGTGGTAGGAAACACGGGGAGAACACACAAAACCCCACATGGGTAGCATCCCAAGATTTGAAACCAGGGCCCCAGTTCTACGAGGCAACAATGCTAAGCACTGCGCCGACATGCCACCCATATAAAGGTTGAGGATGCATGCATATTGATAGCCTTCTCTTTCCATGCAGTGATTCCAAACACTCTGCAGGTGGGAATGCGAGCCGGGCCCGTACGCAGGGCCCCGGGGGACTCTGGGAGGCTGTCCTGTGAGGTGTCCCAGCAGGCCCTTCACCACACCCACCTGTCCGTCAGCTGGTTCCTGGAGAGGGGAGGGCAGGCTCTCGAGATAGCGACGCTCTCCAGGAACTTCGTCCTGCAGGCCAGGCAGCCCTTCCTCCGCAGGCTGCACCAGGGGCACCTGCGCGTGGACAAAAGCAGCCCCACCACGTATCAGCTGACCCTGTCTCCTCTTCACCACTCGGATCAGGGGCAGGTTTACTGCCAGGCCACGGAGTGGATCCAGGACCCAGACAAGTCCTGGTACCCCCTGACCACTAGGAGGACAGGAGGAACGAAGCTCTACGTGGAAAACACATTTCCGGCTATACCAGGTGAACTTGAGCTGTCGCCATTCTACAAAAAAACAAAATGTTTTCCTATTCTCCCCTATTCTTCTGCCAAACCATCACTTGCTTCATTAATTTTCATACATAAGTTCACATAAAAATGGGTCATCTTTTTTTTAACAGAACCGAATATAAGCGCCCAAGCATTCGTTAATGGAACCAGGAGAGGGTAATTCCATAACGAAAAGTAAAAAGACAAATGATAAGATAAGATTTTATTGTCCTCTGAGTGACATTTTTTATGGACACCCAGCACTCCTGTACATTTAAACAGAATGCAAACAAACAAACTGCTCTGACCAAATGACAATGACCAGCATTTTGAGCTCTGGGGCTTTCTTCATGCACCAAAAGAAAGTTCCATAGCTGCAACGTGATTTTATTTCTCTTATTTTGACTCGGCAGTGTGGAATTGACTCCTGCTTGTGGCTTTGCACCATGCACACTGATGCAGCCTCCTGCTCTGACCTCTGAGTCTTGTTTAGACTTGACAGGGGTGTGATATGTGACTTCCATAGAAACCAGACTGTGTGACCGAAGATACTGACTTTTATACTGACTTTTCTTAGTGTATATGAAAAGGTTTTTCTCTGGAACTGTGCAGAAGTAGTTTTGTATGTTCTAAAAATAACTGAATAATGGATAGAAACATGACATTAGAGAACACCATCTTCTCATAGGCTTAGTCAAAACCTAATACATGAATTGTGGGGAATGAGCAAATTATATTTCTATGACCATTAGAACATTAGAAACTATAGAAATTTAGAAATCCAACGTTACAAACAGGACCATCTAAAAGGATTTTTAATTCAGCTTTACACAGAGTGTGTTAAGCTGAGGCATCTTTTCCCCCTAATTTCAGTTCCTCTAGAGAGCACCAACAGATCATGGGAAAACAGCGAAGCAAATGAGCTGCAGTCAGCACACAGTAAGTCACATGATAACAGCATTACTCTTCAGTGTCTAAATTTCACATCGACCAAAATGCAGAAATACACCAGATAAGCACATTTTCTTTCACAAAGACCTTGTCTACAGTTTAACACTAGAATTATCAGTAGTTTTAACTTTTTGATAGAAGACTAAATGAGAAACAATGCATATTTACTCATGACTCATGCTAACTTATAAATCAAGATCAGTGGAGGTTAATGTTCGTCTTCATCCAGGCTCAGGCCAGGCCTGGAAAGCAGCACTATGTAAAAGTCAAAGTCACAGTCACTTCAATTTTTTTTTAAAGAGTAGCAGTAAATTACAGGCAGAGTTAATTATAGTTCCCAAAGCAAACAATTGAGAATGGGACGCGCCTCTCATTCCCCATTCCTGCATTATTCTCTTCAGATCTATCCTCCTCCTCACTGTAGTTCATCGACAAGCCTCTTAAAGCTGGCAAGCCAGTCTGCTGCAGACTGCTGGCCCTTCAGATTCCACAGTGCCGTGGGGTTTGCCTGAAACCGTCAAAACACATATCTGGGAATATGTGAATGTACAGTAATGCGGCACTCTATTTGCAAATAATTCAGTTCTGATCATCATAATTTTGACAGAATACTGGTCCAGAAGTTTTAAGAACTTCTTAATGTAAGAACAAAAATCTACAGAAAAGCTTTGTGTGTATCAGGTTCACACTGCGGTTAAAAAAACAAAGATAACAGACCATTGATGTAACAGCCCTGACTTTTGAAGGGGGTGCTACGTTAAAATTGAGGACCACACCTTTATCAGACATCATACGATATATTCACTGTTACCAGCCTGAGACTTAGTATTGTATTGCAACATCAATTTTAGTGCATTTAGTCCCTTTTCTCTATGTTTTGTTTTGAGAACTCCACCTACAATTTACTGCTACATTTAAAAAAAAATATGAATTAGAAAACAAATGAACTGAATGGGCCTCCTTTCTTATGCTCTGTTATGAGCTTATGCTGTACACTAGGAGTTATTTTCAGATATATAGTCAAAGGGTCCCTGATGTCCGCAGACACACTTTCCTTCTTGAATTACATTCAACTACAATCTATGAAGCATTTTATTTCTAAAATATTTTATCAATGATATTGCTCCCAGGTTGATCAAAAATCCTTTAATCCTCACTAGCTGTTGTTAACATTTCTAGTTTATGCATTCCAGGGTTTTAATTCTCGGGTCCATGGCTGTGCATAACACATTCTTTGTAGTCAGACACTCTGGAGACACCAGACAATGTGCAAATGTAAACTCTCATGGCTGTGTTTTCATTTTACATTTTGCCAATTTTTTTGTTTCGTCTCTTTCTCAGGTGTCGTTCTTCAGGCTAGTAGAGTGTGCTCCCGCGGAGCGTCGTTATCGAGCTTATCAAGCTGGTTTCTGTCCTCTCTAATCATCTTGTCCTTTCTGATGTGAAGCAGAGGCAGGCTTGGGGAGCAGAATGTGTTCCCAACTTCAACAGTGTGTTTGTTAATAGGAAGAAATATATATTTTTTACCACGGAGAACGGTGTTAGGACACCTGCATGTGACAAGGTTACTGAAGCACTGAAGTGGTTACTGAAGTAACATTGATAATGATCACATTAGTTCATGAAAATGTGTTTTATGAATGCAGTTCATAATTCCCAGCTTTGTCATTTTGTTATTCTTTTTTTTTGCCTTGCTATTTTTTACCATTGATGTAATAATGTCATTAACACTTGTAGAATTGTACACTCATTTTTTTGTACAAATTGTGGATAATATGTGCATTCCTGTAGATTTTTATCATTTGATCTTTGTATTGCTAAATCAGCAAGTACAGTAAAATGACATAGAAATACTTGTCTCTTTGTGTTATCTCTGAACACACCTTCTGAACGTACTCTATCTTTACCTTCTTAGGTCTGAGAAGACTGCAAATGTGAGGTGGCCATTGCTCGGGTGTTTACCGACACCTGTGAAATGCAGGGCTCGATGTGTTGAACTCTCTGTCCCTTTCTGAGTCTGAGAGTTCGCTCTGCATGTGGTTTACACATTCTCACAATCCTTTGTCTGAAGAAGCGTGTCCTATTTTTTGGTTGTGAAATTAAATTGCCTAATTTTTAATTAGCTCCTCATGCTACTTAATTACACCACCCCAAAGTGAGCATCCAGCCCTTATTGGTATTATTTTGAATCTGTTGACCAGTCCAACTACTGTGCATGCATTGCCTTGAATGCCAACTGCCTGCAACAGGAAAACTAAATATTTGTTATGAACTTTATCCACAACTTTCTTAAACTTAAAATATGGTTTTTCATATTATTTCATATTTCAAATTTAGAAATCCCCTTCCGTGGCTGAATACTGCTGGAATGAGTTTGTAATCAGTCAGGAGCTTATGGTGTTGCTGAGCTGTTCCTCAGTAATGATGATGTCATCCAGGTCACATTTTCAAGAAGGCTTGCCTTCGGAGGTGGATCCTGTGCACACTGCCACAGAGCTGGAGCTCAGGCCACAACATGGACAAGCCTATTGCCTAGCAGAAGACCTCTTGGGAATTAGTAGCAAAAAACCTTTTTAGATTCTTCCCCTGCTTCAGTCCAGAGGTCCAGCTTACTGAATTAATAGATTCCTGTTCCTGTAATGGATTTTCCTTCACAACCAGCACTTTTAGAGTTGTCCACTACCTCCACCTGCTCCTGCTTGAAATACCCAGTATCTCAATATCTGATCCAGTTGATGCACGGACTCTGCAGAAACTGTTTCTTAACAGGAAACATTTTAGCTTCAGTTTCTTTTCCTGTGCTGATTGATTGTATTAACAACGACAGTGATGACTTGAGCAAAATGTGACAGCTTACTCTTAAACCTCTGAAGTGCTTACACATTAGCCAGACCTTGAATGTCTTAACAAAAGAACAGCAATGGAGAGTTACAGTATTTGAAAGTATTTGCTTGTTTTCTATTTTGAATTTAAAACAGATCTTCATAAAATAATGCTCATAATACAGAGTATATGGGTACATCAGTCTTATTCTACATATAATATATACAGTATGTTCAAAGAGATCATTGCAAATGACAAAAATATATCTCACATCTGTCATTTGCACAAGTGCAGCCTGTCACATTGTAACCTATTTTCTGTGTGAATGAGAACAAATATGCTTAATATTTATTTTACACTTAATTTTAGTCTCTGGACTACAGCAAGTCAAATAACATATTTCCTCCTCTTCATACTGTATGTTCACTTTGTTTTCTGTCTGGTGGAAAACTGTATTTTGTGAAACGAATATTAACATGTTGAAAAGGAATTTATGAAATAATTATGCTCAGATAAAGAGTTTTAATTTTGAAAATAAACCCAATTCATTAAATACTGGGCTTAACATTCTTTAACTAATCAAAATAATTTGTACATTTTGGATGCTGCTTAATTCTGAATTCCCAACATACTCTTGAAATTTTTAAAAGAAAATATGTATATACTGTATTATACAACATGTTGCTGTAAATTCTAATTAATTTTCAAAATCACCACCCTAATTCATCAATGCTTAGATTTATGTCCTTTTTCTGTCACAACACTACTTTTTTATTTACTATTTAAGGATTAAAGAGAAACCCTTGGTCATTAAATGTTCAGAAATGCACCAGTCCGCCTACAGTACTCTCTTGTTTCCGTTACTGACATGCAGATTACCTTGTGCATTTTCAGTAGATGGCGATATTGCTCTATGCAAAATCCTCCCAGCGGCCAACAAAAAGTTATTTTTTTTCATTTGATTCTCAAAGTTCATTTGTTCTTATATTCGACAATAATGCTTGTTTTTTTAAAATAAATTTGAAAAACAGAACTACCTTGTCATTTGCTCATGATTTGTCTTCAGATGAAAAGGTGGAAAAGAAAGGAAAGGAACCACTGTATGTCTGGTTTTAATGTGGGCTAACTCTGTATAACAGAGTGCAATCCTTCAATTTTTTAAAATAAAAACAAATCTAATGAAGAATACACTACTAGTATGCTTTAAGGTGTAGCATCTCTTTTCATTCATTGGATTTACTATCATATGTATTTAATGAACCAATTAATTTGGTGCCATGTGCCAGATTAAAACATGAGTGAAAGAATTGCCGCACCTAAAGATTGGATTCTTGTAGCTTTGTTTTTAGGCTGTTCCCTGCCTCATGGCTGTGGCCCCCTGCAACCCCAAATTGGAAGAGGCAGCTAGAGAGAATGGATGGATGGAGGGGGATTATATATTGATAATATACACTGGCATCCCAGGGTGTGGTTTGCTTGGAAGACAGAGGACTGTCAAGGCTGTTTTTCCTGTTCTGTATTATATTATATTTATTGTATTGTATTGTTTTGGTCACATTACCATGGTACCCTAAACACATAGGTGAAATCTGGAAACCTTCCAGGATGCTGAGGGAATCTTTCTGCAACTGGGAGAAGATATAGATAATAGATATACAGTACTAGTGTTTTGATGTACAATATTGCTTTGTCCATTTTTGGTCTACATGAACAATATGATCATAAATCTATTGTTTGTAATAGTCCAGACAAGCAAAGGAAGCCCTTAACAAGTCAGACAACCTTCAACTATGTACAATCTATATAAATATAGTGTTACTGAATTACTGTGAGCATGTTTTATTGATTGATGTCATGATGACATCCCGGCATAAACATAATTTGAAATTCTCAGTGCTGAGGCCAACATGATTAATGCAAAATGTGCACTCGGATACTACAACATGGTTTTTGATACATCAGTCTGATTGTCAGTCCAGTTTGTGACCTTAACCTTTGCTGTTCCAGTGTCAGCTAGCATATTCCTGAGAGCAGCAAAAAAAAAAACTGTAGAATTATACTGTATAATTATATATTACTCCCTGAAATGATTCTTGCTTACAAGTCTGGCATATACAGTATATTGTGTGCAGTTTCAGCACTCAAACATAAGAGATAGAAATGAAAAGAGGCCATTCAGCCCATCTGACTTGATTCATACTCTAATAGCTACCATGCCCTGCAAAAACATTGGAAGAGTGAAGCAATTTGAGTTATGAACTCCAATAATAATCATTTCTCGTGAAAAGTCCTGACCGATAGTTACATCACCTAAGTTTTTCATTTTTTAATAAAGTCTGAGCAGGTTTACCCGATTGGATCGATTAAAGAAATGATAGTGTTGAACCTCTTTATTTTGAAAGAGCATACTGTATGTATCGGGACATTTGGCTGACAGGTTCCTCTTATTGGTCAGGTATTTATCTCTCTGATAATTAGACATTCATAAAAGAACTCAAAACATCCTATATGTTTGGAATACTGAAGAAAGAATACACAGGTATGATTACCTATCAGCCAAAATGAAGATGGCCAAAAACATTTGCAGCTGATTGTAGAAAATGTAGCAAAGCTGTTCAGGAAAACCCTGAAACAGTGAAACAGTGAAACCAACAGCAGCCTCCAGAGTGCAGGAGGTCCCAAACTCCACCACCTGCTGAGGACCGAGACAGCAGACTTACAGAGGATGCACTGCAGGATGCAAACCTCTCCTCAGCACCAACAACAGAAACGCCAGATCTGAATTTGCTTGGAAGCAAAGGGACGAGCCACAGAGTTTCCTGGGCAGAAGAGATGCAGATAACTCTTTTACCACAGTGGTGGGAAGGTGAGTGAGACGAAAGGAGAAGCTGATGCACCCTGGCTGTGAAGTGTGGGCAATTTCATGCCTGAACACGCATGGCTGCATGTGGACCTGGCACCTCTTTTACAATGATGTAACTAACGGTGGCCGCAGCAGGAAGGATTCAGACATCCCCGACAAACATGGAGATTATGTAGAAGCAAATGCTGCTGTATGTATTGGGTGGTGCTTCCCCATATGCCACGGCAATGACCCAAAGCAAACAAGGAAGGCAATCAAAGAGCTCATCATGAGAACAAGGTGCGAAATCTTACAGTGGCCAAGTCCATCTCTCTGCAAGCCTGAAGAAATCAATTCGAATCAGAACGCCCCGAGAACAGGCAAGAGCACAAAGTAGCAGCAGCACAGGCTTGGCAACAGATTTCAAATGGTCTTGCTGAGTTCAAAGGGCTACAGACTTCATGCAGTTATTGTCTCAAAGGGATCTGCAATTAAAAACGCACACTCTGAAATTTACTTCAAGTGAATGTGGGTTACTGAAAGAGAGGACAGGGAGATAGCAACGTTTGATGAAATCTGCCCTTGAAGGGCTTCATTCCACCGAGGTTAATGTGAAATATATTTAAACCTGTTTATCCTGACTTCCCCCTTCTTAGCTTCTATCCCTCTGTTATGAGAAAGCCGCTCTCTGGGGGCTGAGGCGAGCTGAGGCCTGTCCTGATGGGAGGACTGGGAGCAGACTGCAGTCTTCTCCTAGCAGGCTGCTGGTCCACTGAAGGGTTGTTACAGGCCAGGCTTGAGGAAAAAACACATATAAAGACAGGGAGACCATGCAAACTCCACACAGGCAGACTGTTACGCACCTCCACCACAGTGCCATTTCATCCTGCCTCAATAAACCAAAACAATGAACAAGTCAAACTTCCATTAAGAGACACAAAACCTGAAAGACAGGAAACGTAGGCTTAAGTGCTTTATCACAAGCATTCATGCCAGGAAATGGAGGTTAAGTGGTTAGGTGATTTTTTTCTACATTCATTAAGTTTCTCAACTATCGAATAAAGTAAGCTGTGAACATTTTAGCA